AGGCACTGGATCCCTGGAGCTAGAATTATAGGCAGTTGTGAGCCACCCCATGTCAGTGCTGGGAACTGAACTCAGGTCCTCTCCAAGAGGGTGGAATGCTCTAATCACGGAGCCATCTCTGTAGCCTCAAAGCTTTACTTTCCCCTATGTGTATATGGGTGTGAATTTGGGTAGGTGCGCTTGCATACAGATGCCTTTGGAAGACAGAGCATTGAATTCGCTGGAACTGAAGCTGCTGGTGATTATGAACACATATGTAGGTGCTGGTACCTGAACTCAGATCCTCGGATGAACACCAGCTCGCTAACGACTGAGCCATCTTTCCAGCCCAGCCTAATTCATGATGCTTACTAACACTAAAGGTATTTCATGCAAACTAGATTATTTAGAAAACAGTAGCAAATCAAATTGAACAATGTGGATAAAGGATAATGGGTTCAGGGTAAAGTACTTGTTCAGCATGCTCAAAGCTTTGCATCCTATCCCCAGCAAAACACACACACATGATTGAGATAAGTGACTGGTAGGAGGGGTACAGATCCTTGATTTGTACTATCCCCTGGTTTCTGTCATGTAAGAATTTCCACCATGACCAGGTTCAGACTCCCAGGGTGAAGTCACTGAACCTGGAGTTGGAAATATATAGACCCTGGCTCTCAGGAACTGAGATGATTCAGTTCCAACACATAATGACCAGTATTGTCACTAATCCCAACAATGCAAGATGGAGTCAACGTTTAGTCAGCATTCATTAAAACAAGGAATGCAGTTCAGCACAATAACAAACTAAAGAAGACATTTGTCACAGCGGCGCATGCCAGTAATGCCAGTTCTAGAGGCAGAAGTAGGAGGATCTCTGCAAGTTTGGCACTGGCCTGACCAACATAGTGAGACCCATGTTTAAAAGAGCGGGGGATGGGGGAGATGGCTCAGTAAGTGGAATATTTGTAGCACAGGCGTGAGGGTGCATGTCTGAGTTACACTCAGACCTGGGGCCAGAGGTAGACAGATCCCAGGTGTCTCGGGGTAGCTGTTCTAGCTGAACAACAGATGCCAGGTTCAGTGAGAGACCCTGTCTCAAAAATAAGGTGAAGAAGTAGCTGAGGAGCGCAGCCTGATCTCACACATACACACCATACCTGCGCGCACGCGCGCACGCACACACACACACACACACACACACACACACACACACACACACACAATACCAAGAAAGGCAAAGACAAAACTTTGTAATATTTGTTTTTTTCTGTTTAAGAATTTATTTTCAAGGTAAGTTAATTTTTATGATGGTAAAACAGCCGGATGTATAATCTCCCACCCAGCTGTCATCCAGCCACTCTGAAGCAGCAAGGTGCTTTGCATGTCCACTGCTGCCACAGGAGCCCTGGAAATCAGAGTCTGTTTGAAGATACAGAAAGTTTCACTAGCCTAGATATTCTTTGTCACTTCTCTTACCAATTCAGTATGTTTTACACTTTTCTTTGGGTATTGAATTCTAAACACTGTAGTCTAGATGGACCTTCAACTCAAGCAATTTTCTTGCCTCAAGAGGCCCGAGCCTGAGATAAGGTAGTTGCAACTACCAGACCTAGGAAAGTATACTCTTGCGTGTTGAGAACAATAAACATTGCCCTTCTGTGAGGAGTAAATCAGGGCAGAGCACATGAAACTTTGACGTTAAGCCTTGGCCTCAGTTACAAGCACTCAGATTCCGTCCAGTACTCCCAATACTGATATTGGGAAGACAGTTCTTTTCAAGGGTTTATGGTAAACTCTCACAGCCAGATACATCAGATGGGAGTGAAAGACTTCAGATTGTTCATCAGAGCTTAAATCTGCTGAACTAGGATTTCATCATACTATCAAGCAATGTAATTTAAGAATGCTTTACACTTCACACAGTTAATTCCACCCCAGCTGATGCTCTGTGTTGGGGATTGCCTGTCCCCCTGGATCATTGCTGGCTTATTTGCAGATGCTGGACCACCCCTCCCCATGAGCACTGCTTGCTCATACAGTGCTTAGGAGTAAATGCTGCGTGTGGCCAGTAACTCAGAGAGAGGAGAGTGAAATTCTCCCAGCTAATGCAGAACAAGTCTTCTGAGTTGTGTAAATCTGTGTAACTGGTTCATAAGTTTTACCCCCCACACAGTTAAGTGTGTTTGGTGCCTTGTACTGGAGCTGCCTTTTCATGATGGCGCCTCTTACTCATATTCTAGTAGGCAAATGGGATAAAGACCCAATTCTCCACTCTTTGGTGGCTACTTTTTGGCCAAGAAGCCTATCTTTTTTCTTTATTTAGTTCCTAACTTTTTCCTAGGTGCTGGGGTAGAACCAGGGCCTCGTGCATGGTGGACAAGAGCTCTACCACTGAGCTACTTCCCAGCCACTGACTCCTTTAAAATCTTTGTATCGACTGCTAGGGCTGGAGAGATGGCTCAGCGGTTAAGAGCACTTGTTTTTGTGAAGGACTTGATTTGGTTCCCAGTACCCACAAGGGAGTTCACAACCGTTTTTGTGCCCCCTTTTTGGACACCAGACATGCAAGTGATGCACATGCTTGCATGCAGGCAAAACACTCATGCACATAAAAATAAACAAATCCTAAAAGAAAAACTTTAAAAAAAATCTTTGTAATCAATCCTAGCATTTTACTTGACATGTAGGTTCGGTGCACATTATGATGATGGGTGGACAAATGGAGGGGTTCTGAGGAGTCCTCATTCTCTGAGGTTTTCGTCAGAGAATACAGAAAGTTTCACTAGCCTAGATATTCTTTGTCACTTCTCTTACCAATTCAGTATGTTTTACACTTTTCTTTGGGTATTGAATTCTAAACACTGTAGTCTAGATGGACCTTCAACTCAAGCAATTTTCTTGCCTCAAGAGGCCCGAGCCTGAGATAAGGTAGTTGCAACTACCAGACCTAGGAAAGTATACTCTGGTGAGAGACTCACATGTTTACCAATGGAACAGCAGTCCCAAATCTAGATGTAAGTACTTGTCTGCCCACTCAAATGTTTACCAATGGAACGGCAGTCCCAATTCTAGATGTTGTAAGTACTTGTCTACCCATTACAGAGTGAGCCAGAAGACATCATTTAGCATTCTATGGAGCTTCTGAGAGGTCTCAGTGAGTCACAAAACGGGAAGAATGCCTTCTGGCAGGCCCAGTGCTACATGATAATACTGATGACAGTTATGAACATTAGTACAGTCTGTCTGCCCTTCTGCTGTTAGTATCATACAAAACGATGGGTTTCCTTGCTTTCATGTGCATATGTGATGTACTTAGCTTATATTTTATGTTTTTTGTGTCCTGTTTGTTTGTGCAACTTCAGTATGTACAGATGTTGAGATCCATGTGTAAAACTGGGCCTGGTGGTACAGGCCTGTAACCCCCACTACTCAGGCCAAGGCTAGAGGATCAGAAGTTCAAGGTTGGCCTGAGCAACCTAGTGAGACTTTGTCTCAAAGGGGGGAGGGGCGCTGGAGAGGTGGCTTAGTGGTGAAGTTGCTGTTCCTCCAGCACCAACATCAAGCCTCCTACAACTTCCTGGAACTCCAGCTTGAAAATCTGCTGTTCTTTTCTGGCCTCTGTGAGCACCCACATACATGTGCGTACACTTACACAGACATATCCACGTACATAAATAAAAGTAAAACAAGTCTAGAGAGATGGGGCAGCGTTAAGAGCATTTATTGTTCTTGCAGAGGGCCCAGGTTTGGTTCTCAGCACCTACATGGTGGTGCACAACCACCCGTAACTCCAGTTCCAGGGGATTCAACTCCCTTTTTCTTTTCCTTTTTTTAAAAAGATTTATTTATTTATCATGTATACAGCATTCTGCCTGCTTGTTTGCCTGCGCACCAGAAGGGGCTACCAGATATCATGTAGATTGTACCATGTAGGTGCTGGGAATTGAACTCAGGACCTCTGGAAGAGCAGCCAATGCTCTTAACCATTGAGCCATCTCTCCAGCCCCCTTCACTCCCTTTTTCTGACCTCCTCGGCACCAAGCATGCACATAGATAACATGCAACCAAATCAGTCATAAAATAAGTCTGTAAAACTTGGAAAAAAGAAAAACAAGCTACCATATGAGTATATTTGTACCAATCTGAGGATGGTTCAGGCTCTGGAGCACCACTGTACTCCTCTAAATTACTGTAGTAGCGAGGACTTGTTGATTGCAGCTGTTTATTTGCTGTTGATTCTCACTCATCTGCTTTTCACTGTCTGATTCCCATGAGGTACGTGTTACAGTGTCATTGGAATAGGCTAGAAGGGTTTCTGAGTCTAAAAGGAATGGTAACAGCAGTTAATGTGGTCGACAACCTGTCAAAGATGGTTTGCAAGTAGGCTAAGAACAGCAGATGTTTGGCTAATTTAGAAAGCTAGACTATGCTGGGAAAATGGCTTAGGTACTGGCTGCCAAGCTTGACAGGAGTTCAATCTGAGTCCCACACGGTAGAAGGAAAGACCTGTCTTTGCCTGCAAGTAGTCTTCTGGCCTCCACAGGGGCACTGGGGCACACATGAAACAAACAAACAAACAAACAAACAAACAAAGAAATGTAATCTAAAGACAGCACCAGACTGGGAGCCAGGCATGGTGACCTACACCAGTAATCATAGCACTCAGATTGTGGAGGTAGGAGGATCACCAGTTCTAGGTTAGCCTGGGCTACATTGTCACAAACAGAAAAAAACCAGGCTGGATCAGTGCTCATTCCCAAGGATGATTAGGCTTGCTTCGTAAGACTTAAATTTCTCCTTTTGCTTGGCGGCTTTAAGAAAAGAATCGTATATTTAGGATAGCGGATATTACCATACTATCTTTCGAAATTTTTGGTTATCAAAACCATACTAAATTATTCCATAGTGCTTGGCAGCGGGAAGTTATCACTGCACATCATGAGTTTCAGTCTCAATATCCAGGACACTCGCTGTTTGCACACTGTTTGCTCTTACTCACAAAGGTGTTTTTCCATCAGGGATGGATGAATGAGATCTACAACTATGATCCAGAAACTTACCATGCAACTTTGACACACTCAGTCTTTGTCCGGCTTGAGGGTGGAACCTTAAGACTTTCAAAACCCAACAAAAACATATCCAGGAGGGCAAGCTACAATGAAACGAAGCCAGAGGTCACCTACATCAGCCAGAAAATCTACGACCTCTCAGACAGCAAGGTGAGTCTGGGTGATTCTGGAAGCTGAGCTTGAATGAGTGGAAAGCATTTGGGATCTTGATTGCTATACTGCACCCCACCCATGATGACAGCATCCCAGACAGTAACTGTGAATCACTGGGCATCCTTTGAAATGCAGCAACATTGAGTGGGCCCACAGCCTAGATTTCTATGAGCTTCCAATGCCACAGCTCCACGGACCACACCTCCAGGAGCAGGGTTCTCTGCACTCAGAATTTTGACTTTAAAAGCGGATTATACTGATTATGGCTCGGGATGCAGCTCAGCTGGTAGAGTGCCTGTACATACACAAAGCCAAGGGTTCCATCCCCAGCACCACATGTACCAGCTGTGGTGGCACAGACCTGTAATCTCAGGAGGCTAAAGCAGGAGGATCCCCATGATTTCAAGGTCAGCCTGGGCTACATAGTTTGAGGCCAGGCTGAGCTTGTCTATATTGTGAAATCGGGTTTCTACACACACCCTTAAAAAAAAAAAATTGCATTTTTAGTCTAAAAGCAATGTGTTGTGGTGCCAGGTATTGACAGAAGCTCTGTAAGATGTAAAAATTGTGCACATGCCAGTACATTTTGATAAGGTACTGTTTCTATTTTTGTAGAAAATATAAATTTTTATTGCACACAGACATAGGTTCTCTGTTCTTATAACTCAAATGAGTGGTCTTTAAGTTCCTCCACAGTAATGGAAGTATGTAAAGTAGTTGCTGTATAGATTCATCCTTGAGTTGATTCCCAGCATTGACCTGCATTTCCTGTCTAGACTGGAGATACTTTTCCCCCAGATTAAGATTCATCTAGGACCATTAATCTAGTTGGTATCCAAGCCTATTTGATAATAATCAGAGTAATGTTACTACTCTGCTACTGCTACCTAAGAATGAAAGATATTTATAGCTCTTGTGTACTTCTGAAATATGTACACTTCGGAATTTTGAGGAATAACAAGTCATTTCTAAAAATTTTGCGTTCTACAGTCAGGTTACAGACAGGTGGTAGGAGTTACTTAACTTCTAGCATTTTCGTCAAAGGCTCAGAAAGGCTAGCCTTTCTGATCCATGTAATATTGATGCACAAGGGAGACGGTCTGTGGTATGTAAATCACCATTTGCCTTTCTCCGTAGATTTATCTCGTACCTAAAAGTCTGGCTCGCAAACGAATCTGGAATAAAAAGTACCCCATTTGTATCGAGCTTGGTCGGCAAGATGACTTTATGTCCAAGGCTCAGACGGATAGGGACGCTGGTGAGGAGAAGCCACCTGCTGAGAAAGAGCTGGCGAGTGAAGACGTTAAGAAGCCACCCCAGCCTCAAGAGGGGACGAAGTCTAGCCAGAGAGACCTGACCCTGTATCTGTTTGGGAGAACTGGCCGGGAAAAAGAGGAGTGGTTTAGGAGGTTCATCCTGGCATCTAAACTGAAGTCAGACCTCAAGAAGCTGCCTGGGGTTTCTGGAAGTAAATCAGGTAATAGCGTTTGTGCTAAGTGGGTATGTGTTTGAAGGGCTTGTGGGAAGAGGAGGAGGGAGTGGCCGGCAGCAGCCCACCTTCAGTTCATTACTCTCCACCACCCCAAGTGTGTTGTCATGACATGTGTACCTTCTACAGTAACCGCTACCCCCCCCGCCCTTGGTACTGAGTCATTTTTCCAGTGATGGTCCATTTGTGGGTATATGTGGTTAGCCTGTAGTGGCATCCGGAACTCTTGTTTATTGGTGAAATTATTAAGGCCACTCCACATAGTTAAAAGGAGATTTATTTAATGGCGTAACTTACAAATTAAGGGATAGGTAGGTCGCGGGGTCTGGGGAAGGTGTATCGCAGTCCATTAGTGTTCTCTGGAGCTCTGCTTGGCCCACCTTCACCGTCCAGGGTCCCAGAACAGAGAGAGAGCACTGGCCCATCCAGATCTCAGGTCTCCAGGTGCCTCCCTTGGCCCCGCCTTGTAGGCGTGACAGTTGCCAAAGTCTCAGTGGGGGTTGGAACTTCCAGATCAAAGCTGGAATGGCTACCCACCACACTCTCTTGGTATCCTCATGAAAGCAGCTACAGGAGACCCTTGTCTGAAGAAAATGGTAAGAGCAGAGCATGGTAGTGCACACCTTTAATCTCAAGACTAGGGAGTCAGGCAGGTGGATCTCTGTGAGTCTGAAGCTAGCCTAGTTTACAGAGCATGGTGGTACACACCTTTAATCGCAGGACTAGGGAGTCAGGCAGGTGGATCTCTGTGAGTCTGAAGCTAGCCTAGTTTACATAGTGAATCCCAGGCCAGCCAGAGCTACTTAGTGAGATCCCCGCCTCTGCCACCCGAGTGCTGGCATTAAAGGCGTGTGCCACCATGCCCAGCTGTATTTGGTTATTTTTAATGACTTGCACTTCTGACACAACACAGTCAATAGTAAGAGCCAGGAGTGTGGAAGGCCTTGGTACCCACCGTACACTGAAATCAGGCAAGCCTCCACTCTCACACCATCAGTACCTTGATTAGCCTGAGTTACCTTAAACCACTGTGAGTTGAGTGAAGACTGTACTGTATTTCAAAGCCACTGCCCAGCTGCTGGACGATTTACATACTACAGACCGTCTCCCTTGTGTATCAATATTACACGTATCAGAAAGGTTCTGACCCTTTGACTAAAATGATGGAAATTAATGTATGAACAGCCACTGCCCAACTGGCTTGTTCTCAGCCCACAAGGTGATACCGGTGCTCAGTCTCCAAGACCAGGCACCTCTGTAAATAACACATGACGGAAGAAGTCTTGCTGGCTGGCTCAGGCCTGTCCTCTCTCTCAGGGATGCCATCACTTAGAGACATAGGTTTCATTGGCAACTCACGGTGCACGTTCTGACCCAGGAGACCCAAGCAAGGATGGAGATTCCAAATTTTAGCACTCAGGTCTAGTTTAGTTAGAAGTAGCTGCAGGAGGAAGAGAACCCGGAGAGAGCGGAAAGCCATGAGCTCCCCAGCACGGTTCCAGTGTGATGTTCCCAAGAGGCAGCCATGAAGTCTACAGTGGTGACAGCTCCTGTGCTCTGTCCCACCCTAAGCGAAGACGCTGCCCCATGGCAGGGGACAATAGCCATGCTATAGTCGGGTTTTCCTCTCCTGACCTTGAATAGGGGGAGGAGTATTCTTGGCTCTGTCTTTTTTTTTTTTGGTTTTTCGAGACAGGGTTTCTCTGTGTAGTTTTGTGCCTTTCCTGGAACTCACTTGGTAGCCCAGGCTGGCCTCGAACTCACAGAGATCCACCTGGCTCTGCCTCCCGAGTGCTGGGATTAAAGGCGTGTGCCACCACCGCCCGGCATGGCTCTGTCTTTTAAAATGGTTTTTTATTCATTAACTAAACTCTAGAGTTTATTTTGATTACTGCATTTTCTCTTCTTCTAAATTCCAATCCAGGATACCACATTGCATTTAGGTTTTATAAAAAAAAAAAAAAAAAATAGTGTGGGTGGGGATATAGCATCATTCTGACATTTAAAATAATGTTAAACTTTGAAGTGGTTTGAGAATGATGAAAGATTATAAAAAATTTGAGTTCTAGGTAAAACTTGAGGTAGTCAGTCCTGGAAAGAACCTAACTAAAAAAACAAAACAAAACAAAACACCCAAGTTAAAGTAGCCTTCCCAAGTGTTTGTACAAGCAGAGAGAGCGCCATTCAGATGGCTGGAAATGGGCAAACACCACCTGACCGTCTTGATCTTTACCTGTCTGTCCTTGCTCACATAGACACCTGAGCAAATCGATTGGTGTCAGCACTTGATGCTTAAAACCCTCGGTTGCAACATGATGAACTGAACCTGGGGTCACGCTCCAGGCACTTGACGGTCAGGCTCCTGCCCTTTCCTCCACCCACACTTCCTTTGTGTGTCTTCATGGGACTTCTCTGAATCTTGCTTCTTCGTGGGCTGTTCTCTGTCTAGAGCGTTCTTCCGCTAGGCCAAGGAAAATGGCAACTTTTTCCTCAAAAGATAGTGCAGGTGTCCCTGGTGGATGTCTGTGCCCGGGCAGCAGCCTCTGGCAATGCTGGTTACAGGCAGTTGTGACTTACCTTCCCATGGGTCTGACGTCAAGGGCAACGATTCTGCCTGGTTCTCCTGGTTAGCATGGAATAGGTCCAGAGAAGGTATGTGATGAGTGATCTGTTGAATGAAAGATGGCATCTTTGAAATGCCCTGAGCTGTGGATGAACAATTCATTAGCTTCCTGCCCACCCTCCGTTTACTCTGTTAACATTCACAGGCCCTCCTTGACTGGAGGGTACATTGGCGCTGTGTTTTATGCTTTCCTAAAAGATCACTGGGAGCAAAGAAAAAAATAGCCATCTGGCATACTGTGCTGCCCCCATTCCAAAACTACCTCAAAGCAAAAAAAAAAACCATTCTAAAAATCATCTAATGTTAGAGCAGAAAGTATTCTTTAGGGTAAAGATTTTTAAAAATCATATGGTGGCATTTAAGGCATGGGTGTTTTGTTTATTCCTGACCTTTTTTTCCACCTGTGTTAATAGCTCTCACTTCTCACCCCAGGGCTTTTGCCCACCCACAGCAGACACGGCAGTCCTTCAGGGCACCTGACCCATAGCCGAAGCAGCAGCAAAGGCAGCGTGGAGGAGATGATGTCCCAGCCCAAACAGAGGGAGCTGGTGGGCAGCGTGCGGCAGAAGGTGCTCCTGGACTACAGTGTGTACATGGGCAGGTGTGTGCCCCAGGACGAGCGAAGCCCCCACAGGAGCCCTGTGCAGAGTGCGGAGAGCAGCCCCACAGCTGGGAAGAAGGTAAAGATGCCAGGCGGGCCTTTCTGTTCTCCTTACACTCACCTTCATGTGTGAGGGATTCATGCCAGCCAGGCCCCCCCCCCCCCCCCCCCAGTCCAGGTTCCAAAGACATGGTGATGAACTAGACATGGAGAGGCCTGTGTTCAGACGCGGGAAGAATTGAAGCTGGGTTAAAGGTGATGGAGAAAGGCCCCACTACTATTTGTGTTATCTGGGTCTCTTTGAGGAGGTGGTCAGTGAGCCACAGTGATACATGCTAGAGGCACATTCCAGAAGGGCCCCCACTGTCTGCAAAAGCTCCACAGCAGGAATGCAGTTGGGATACTCAAGGGACAGCATTGAAGCCAGTGTGGCTGGGCAGCAAGCAAGGACAAGAGAGAGGTAGCAGCTGTGGAGGGTGGGCGGGGCCTCTTCAGGTCTGTTCTGAGGGAGACGGGGTGCTGGGAGGGTTTGAACAGGGAGTTCCATTGTTCTCAGCTTAAGTGACTCTCCATGGAGAAAGGCTGTGGGGAAGGGAGTGGGTGGGAAGCCGTGGAAAGGTGGGCTGAGAGGCGGGTGCTAGTGGGTGGTTGGGAGCAGAACTACCTGGTTTTGCGGATGGACAGATGTGAGGGATGTGATGCCTAGTTTTTGCACCTGACAACTGGCTCTAGGTAGGAAGGTCATGGGGTCACTGGTAGTAGAATCCAGTGTCTTCAGAGTCGTGGGTGGTCCTCCGCTCTGTCACTGCTTTTGAAGATTTAGCATGAGAACGACTTCAGAGTGTAACAAGCTGGACTTTGACTTAAGTCACTCAGAACATGATTGTTAATACACACTGCCGTAAACCAGACTTGTCTGGGCACTCTAGAATTACTCTAATCCCAAGAAAATCCTCACAAACTAGATCTCTCCTTGATGTCGATGGGGAAGCAGAGCCGAGAGAAGTTAGGTTGCTCAGGTATGCAGCTGCTGAGTAGTGGAGTGTACCTAATGTCACCTGTGGCTCTGATGCCCCTTGGACTGCTGGGACTGCCGTGCTGATGAGCTCTCTGAGGTCAGCCTGTACCAGAGGCCTCCTGCCTCTGCTGTGCCCCACCGTTTTGAGGCATAGCCCCTGCCTGCGGTTCCCCAGCCTCTTCTCATGAGTAGTCCATCGTGTTTGACCTCTTGTCAATGGCCAGACTGCTGTCTTTAATGAGGAACATGGTGCCTTCCTCTTCTGCCTCTGGCTGCCCTTTGGTTTACTTGTTCTGTGGAATCTCTTCTGTGTGGAGGTGACCGCGGACCTGACCCATGTGGCTTTGTTGGCCTCAAGCTCACTGCCTCCACACACACTCTGAATTACCAGCTCTGGTGAAAGACTTCCTCTAGGCTAGAGTAGGTGACATCCTCTCTTCTAGAAGTGTCCTAGTTGCCTGTGACAGCTCCCTCCTCCCCACGTTCTCTTTATCTAAGGACATCAGTTGTCTTGATCTCATCAGATCCAAGGAGAACAGAGAACTGTACACTACGTGGCAAGGTTGATAAAAATCTTTCTGAATGGTTTTCTCACATTAAAAATCAAAATAAAGCCGGGCAGTGATGGCACACACTTTTAATCCCAGCACGCCAGAAGCAAAGGTAGGCAGATCTCTGAGTTCGAGGCCAGCCTGGTCTACAGAGAGAGTTCTAGGACAGCCAGGGCTACACAATGAAGCCCTGTCTCAAAAAACAAAACAATAAATAAAACCAGAGCTGAGCATGGTGGCACACTATTGTAATCCTAACACTCACGAGGCCGAGTCAGGAGGATTGCCATCCTGGGTTATACAGTGAGAGCCTATCTTTAAAGAAAAACTGAAAACATAGTGCCTGGAGATGGCTCAGTGGATACAGCATTTGCTGTACAATCCGGATGACCTGAGCCCAGTACCTGGAGCCCACTTAGAAGCTCCAGCTCAAGAGAGGGGACCCTCCCCCTTATTAATTTAACGATAACTGCCATGCTCCAGGAAACCAGAGAGATAGAATTGCATAGGAATGTGTGTGGGTCACTGTCTCCGACAGGCATCTGAGGAAAGTGAGCTTGACTCCCCAAATCTGCTTGGCCTGCCTGAAGTGTGTGGGGACCATATTCTGGCTTTTGGGGGTCTGGTAGTGTGGCGTCCTTGAATAAGGTGCAGGTGTTAGCCTACTGGTCCAACACTGTGAAACAAACAACCCCAAGGTGGTTGCTTCAAATAATAGCCACTATTTGTTTTCCTCACGGATTTGTAATTTCATCAGGGGAGGCAAGGGAGGACTTCCGGCTGCTCTGCGCAGTCACCAGGGGAGGCTGGAGAATGACCCACTGCCAAGAGGAAGGGCCCTCTAGTGGAGCACAGGTAGATTCTAGTTGTGGAGTGGAGCTCAGTCAGGGCTGAAGGCTGGGGGCCTCGGTCCTTCTTCTTGTGGCCTGGGTTTCCTTCAGGCACACATTCCTAGGGAAAACAGGAAGCAGAAGGTAGACTGCTGCTGTTGATGGGGCAGTCATGGAAGCTCCTGCGTCTGGTCAAGGAGAAGGGCATAGGCCCCGCCCTTCCCAAGGGAAAGTATGATCGGTGGAAAATGAGCTCTGCCAGGGTGCTCCTGTCCCACACGGTGCTCCTGTACTACATGGTGCTCCTGTCCTACACGGTGCTCCTGTCCTGTACTACTTGGTGCTCCTGTACTACATGGTGCTCCTGTCCCACACGGTGCTCCTGTCCCACACGGTGCTCCTGTCCCACTCGGTGCTCCTGTCCCACTCGGTGCTCCTGTCCCACTCGGTGCTCCTGTCCCACACGGTGCTCCTGTCCCACATGGTGCTCCTGTCCCACACGGTGCTCCTGTACTACATGGTGCTCCTGTCCCACTCGGTGCTCCTGTCCCACTCGGTGCTCCTGTCCCACTCGGTGCTCCTGTCCCACACGGTGCTCCTGTCCCACTTGGTGCTCCTGTCCCACACGGTGCTCCTGTCCCACACGGTGCTCCTGTCCCACACGGTGCTCCTGTCCCACACGGTGCTCCTGTCCCACACGGTGCTCCTGTCCTGTACTACTTGGTGCTCCTGTCCCACACGGTGCTCCTGTCCCACACGGTGCTCCTGTCCCACACGGTACTCCTGTCCCACACGGTGCTCCTGTCCCACACGGTGCTCCTGTCCCACACGGTGCTCCTGTCCCACACGGTGCTTCTGTCCTACTGTACGAGTCAGCGGAGCTGATGCTGTGCCAATTTCATATTACTTTAGTGATTTTGATGCACCAATTTCATATTACTTTTGTGATTTGAGCAAATGATTCCCACCCCATGAAATACTAACGTGGTTCCTGCATTTCTCTGCTGGCCCTGTTCACTCCCAGACAGGCAAGTGCCTTAGTGTCTGATTTGTTGTCTGCGTGTATCATTCCATCTTCTGTTTTATCCAAAGTTTTGTGTACTGTGGTCCATTCACAAACACTTTCTGAAATCACTATATCCGTTCATAGAATTCACTCTCATCTTTTTAGACAGATCCAGAGACTCCGGTGGGTGGATGGTCTGTAGTTTAAGGTTTTCCCCAGGATTTTGCCATTTCTGGCAGTGCTGGGTGAATAACGTGAGTGTGCTTTCACATTGTTGGGGTGTCTTCAGTGCTGAAATCCTGAAAGCAGGATTCTGGGTCAGAAGGTGAATGCACATGTGCTTTGGTTAGAGACTGCCAAATTCCATCCCTAACAGTCACACCAGTGTTCATTCCTACCGGGAAGGTATGGCACTGCCCATTTCTCTGACCTCGCCAAAGGTGGACCTTTTGGATATTATCAGTGTTCATCCCTTCAGCCAAAATTAGGACATTTCCTCAAGTCCATATCACCTCCAGCATCGTAAGTCCAAAGGAGGGCCTTAAAGGGGTCAGAGACACAAAGAACCTTGGACATTTCCTCAACTTGCTCCAAATTATGTTTTCAGACTTGGCCAGCACCCAGATGTTCACCCAGGTTCACATGTCCCCTCTTTCATACAGGGGGGCTTGGGACACTTTGTTCTTTTTACCCCCACTTCCTGCCATCTCCCCTTCCTGCTCCCTCTTACACACCATAGTCAAAACGTTTCTGTCCCTGAAGGTAGGGCTCCAGAGTGTCCTGAGCACAGTCACACATTCATCTCCCTTTAAGTGATGCCCAGGGCTAAATGAGTTAGCCAGCTGGTTACAGGGTGAATAGGCCAGGGTTAGGTCTCTGGTGCTCAGGAGCTGAACCCCAGTTCAGAACACCCAGATGAACTTTCTCACAGGGACCACCAGCTCACAAATAATAACATGGAGACTTACTATTAATTATAAATGCTTGGCCTTAGCTTAGGCTTGTTCCTAACTAGTTCTCATAACTTGAATTAACCCATATTTTTAAATCTATGTTCTGGCAGGTAGTTCTTTACCTCATCTCTCTGTACTGCTCATTCTGCTTCCTCCGTGTTTGGCTGGTGACTTGCTGGCAACTCCACCTTTCTTTCTCTGAGTCCTCTCTGTCCCCAGAAGTCCCACCTAACCTCTTCCTGCCCAGCTAATGGCCATTTAGCTCTTTTTTTTTTTTTTTTTTTTTTAAAGATTTATTTATTTATTATGAATACAGCATGTATGACTGCCCGCCAGAAGAGGGCACCAGATCTCATTACAGATGGTTGTGAGCCACCATGTGGTTGCTGGGAATTGAACTCAGGACCTCTGGAAGAGCAGTCAGTGCTCTTAACCTCTGAGCCATCTCTCCAGCCCCCCATTTAGCTCTTTATTAAACCAATCACAGTGACACAGCTTCACACAGTGTAAAGGAATATTCCATAACAGACCGCAGGCTAGCATTGTGTGTGAAACAGTTCTAAACATTACTGGCAGTTAACTTACCTATAATAATTAAATACAAGATCAGAAGATTTGGTATAGAAACAACTTAAAGCTATTAAGCTGCATTTGAATTATAAAATAACACTGGTTTCTAGACGTTTAATGTCTGGTTTTAGGTGATTTAAGTCATAATTCA